ACTCACTGTCACAAAAAGAATAGTGTATGCAGTAGACTCCGCAGCATCTGATTTAAATTCTTGGATTTGCCTCTGTCAAAGTCCCAGTCTTTCATTCAAATACTGTAGCACTAAGCCTCTAATAACTTCAATCAAGCAATAAAATACATAAATACAGTAAAAGCTCTTGACTCGATTGAAATAGGAGGAAAAACTGAATACCTAGAAGCTATATAGGAAGGAACCGGAGTAGAAATGCCTTCGGCAAGTATCTTTTGAGCATTATGGTAGTGTGCAATTGCTTCATCAGCCAATCCCCATTCTTCAGCTCTAACAGCTTTGGCGATCTCTTCTTTGGCCAATTCAAAGTAGCCTTTTAGCTTATACGCCGTTCGTTCGTTCCCGGTGGCAACGCCATCCATTGTCCGATCACCGGAGTTCTGCTGAGGATGGTTCAGAGACGAAGGCGATGATGGAGTATCAGAGAAGATCGAGCTTAGGGTTTCTGCCAGGTCTTTGAGAAAACTCATTTGGGAGAAATTTGTATTAATGGAGAATCGGAAAATCTAGCATCTTTAAGGTCCTGTTTGGTTTTGAGGTAAATATGATCTTCAAGAAAATGTTCTTTTATGAATTTTAAAGGATGATTAATGGAGGACAGACTATTTCCAGATTTACTTTAAAGAAATTCTATTGGTAGCTTGAAAATCAAGTCCCTTCTTTGATTATTCTTCCCATTTTATTTTACTTCTTTGTTACTCATCCCGTTTCACAAAGAATGACTTTCTTTCCTTTTTAGTCAGTTTAAAAAAGAATGACCTCTTTCCTTTTTGGTAACATTTTACTTTTTGCTTTCCACGTGGCATGTTTAAGACCACAAGATTAAAGGCAATTTTGTACATTTGACATAACTTTAATTTAGGACCACAAGATTCAAAAGTCTTCTTTATTTACTTAAACTCCGTGCCAAGTCAAATCAGGTCATTCTTTGTGAAACGGAGGGAGTATTAAATAGAGAAAATGATCAAAATGGTCCTTCATGTATAAGAGTTGATTTATTTTGCTCCTTAACATATATCACTTGATAGAAATAGTCTTTAATGTAGGTAAAATGGGTATTATTTTAATCTTAAGTCCTAAATTTAACTTTTTCACTGTCAAATTTCAAACATTTTTCGATAGGTATGAACTTTTACATACATGTGGAAAATATAATTTTTTTAATCTATTTTAGGGATTAACGAAGACAACACAGAAGATAGTTAAAAAATGAAAAAAAGAAGAGCTTTTAAAATATATTTTAAGAAGATGATGCAGTTTTAGAGAGAAGCAAAAAGGAAGACAGAGCAACCAAGGAGAACAGAAAAATGAGTTAGGGAATGACACGTTAGTTTAACAGAGAAAAGTTAAACTTAGGGTTTAGGATCAAAATGATACTCATTTTTGCATACATTAAGAATTATTTCTATCAAGTGATATTTATTAGGACCAAAATAAATCAACACCATACATGAAGGACCATTTTGATCATTTTCTCTTATTAAATATTACTACTATATAAATATATGTTTCTTAAAAGCAAGTGATTTTTTTGTGTGTTTGGTAAGTAAATATAAATATTGTCCTAAAAATACTTACATATAATGTAGGTAAATATTATGGATAGGGGTAGTAAGGGTGTACATGATTGGATAGGTCCGAGTTTTTCAAATATCAAACCAAATCATTTATATCGGATTTTAAAATTTATAAATCAAACCAAACTAATAAAACTCAGATTTTTCCAATAAGGTAATCATACAAACATATAATTAACTTGCTCCAAATATCTCTTTAGTCCTACCAAAATACAATTATATAAGACGTTTCTCAAAAAAATAATACATAATATGAGATGAGTGGTGACACTAAAATATTCAACAAAGAATAATAATGAAATGGCATAAAATAAATATTGCAAATTAATAAGTCATAATTAAAATAATCATAATTTAAAAACACTAAATCATGCAAAATAAGTACTAATGAAAGCATTAGTCATACATGCATACACTAATACACTCTATTCCGCATTATTCTTTTACACCGCTCCATACGATCGGTTAAATTAGTACTCATAAGCATAGAAATTAAGGATGGTGATTGCTGGTGTGAGGACAAGCAAGCAAAATCAGCATAAATTGCAGACTAGATAAACCTTAGCTATGTGTGATGAAGAAACACCCATATCTATATAAAAAATCCACAGGGGAGCCAACCTATAATAGTATAAAATGTATTATTAAATCATATTCCAAAGGAACAGTGACATATTCTTTTGTTTATTCTTCAAGTTTCTGTCAAATTCATTTTATATATGATATGTGATCAATTTTCTTGATTTGACTTTGCATCTGTGTGGTATATAGTACATAGAGATGGTTGTCATCTCTCCAAATATATAAAACAGATCTGAAAAAGGAAATGGATGTTCTTTATACCATCTTCATCTCTATAGCTATTCTCTTGTTCATTTGTGTGACTCCTTTATTAATTTTAATAGTAAGGATCTATGCTGGCAAGTCAATCAGAAACCCCAAATATGCACCAGTGGAGGGGACTGTGTTCCATCAGCTTTTATACTTCAACAGAGTCTATGATTATCAAACAGAATTGGCTAAAAAGACCCCTACTTTCCGGTTTCTGGCGCCGGAGCAGAGTGAAACATATACCACTGATTCAAGAAATATTGAGTACATTCTTAAGACAAACTTTAGTAAGTACTCTAAAGGAAAGCGAAATCAAGAGGTTATAATGGATTTGTTTGGTGAAGGGATTTTCGCGGTGGATGGTGAGAAATGGAAGCAACAGAGAAAGCTTGCAAGTTTTGAGTTCTCAGCTAGAGTATTGAGAGACTTTAGCTGCAAAGTTTTCAGAAAAGGAGCAACCAAGTTGGTGAGCAAGGTTTCTGAGTTATCTCTTGCCAACCAAGTTTTTGATATGCAAGTAAGTCATTGAAGAATTTAATGAATTTCCGGGTTATATCACTAAGCCAATTTTTATCACTAAAATATGCTACCACACTTGTAGGAACTGCTAATGAGATGTTCCCTGGAATCAATATTCAAAGTTGGCTTTGGAGTTGATCTGAACTGCCTGGAAGGATCAAGTGGAGATGATAACAAATTCATCAAGGCCTTTGATGATTCAAATGCATTGTCATATTGGCGTTATGTCGATCCATTCTGGAAGCTTAAGAGATACTTCAACATCGGCTCTGAATTTCTTCTGAAAAAGAACATCAAGTTCATTCAAGAATTCGTTGATGAATTGATTAGAACAAGGCGCAAACAGCTAGAAATGAAACAAGATTCTGTAAGTCTTAGTTATTAAAATGTTTGGAGAGCTAGAAATGAAGCATTTCCATCTTCTAAAGCTATTTTGGAATCTCGTCTAACATAATTATTAACTTTCTTTCTGTTCTGCAAGATGGATAAGGAGGACATACTCTCAAGGTTTCTGGTAGAGAGCAAGAAGGATCCAGAAAAAATGACTAATCGGTATCTCAGAGATATTATACTGAATTTCATGCTTGCTGGCAAAGATAGTACTGCTAATACTCTTTCATGGTTTTTCTATGTGCTTTGCAAGAACCCCTTAATCCAAATAAAGATTGTTGAGGAAATAAGAGAAGTTATTGATAATAACATGAAGGATAATGGAAGTGTGGATGATTTTGTAGCAAGTATTACAGAAGAGGTCCTCGAGAAAATGCATTATCTTCATGCAACATTGACAGAGACCTTGAGGCTATACCCTGCTGTCCCAGTGGTACTACTTCTGTCCATAAAACTGCAATATATGCAAAACCAAATAAATCTAGCATTTCTGCCCTGTTGTATCTATCTGTGACTATATCTCATATGCAACATGTCATTTGTTGATATGCAGGATGGCAGGTGTGCAGATGCAGATGATGTTCTTCCTGATGGCTTTCACATCAAGAAAGGGGATGGGGTTTATTATATGTCCTATGCAATGGGGAGGATGCCTTACGTTTGGGGGGATGATGCTGAGGATTTCCGACCAGAAAGATGGTTGAAAGATGGGATTTTCCAGCCAGAGTCACCATTCAAATTCATAGCATTTCATGTAAGCGTATGTTTTAATTATTCATACTTAGTGTCTCCCGAAATGATATAGGTGATCACTGAGGCTATATAGTTGTTGTTACGTACAGTTCGTGTTAGAGTGGGTTAGAGTCCCACATTGGTTGGGGAATGGACACGTGGTCTTTTTATATGGACTTGGGAAATCCTCACCTTATGAGCTAGCTAGGTTTAGCAGAGAGCTGATCAAGATCTCACCAAGGGCTTTTTGGGGTTTATGTTAGTCTGTAACCGCGAAGATAGTAATTTACTTTGGTCTAAAGAATCTATATATTCTTTTGGCCTGTATTGTATATCATCTGCAATTGGGATTAGAATACCACAAGGGATACTGCTAAATCTTCCTTGACACTGGGGTTGCATCATATTATCTCTTCTCTAACTCAGTGGTTTATTAAATTTACAGGCTGGTCCAAGATTATGTCTAGGCAAAGATTTTGCTTATCGGAAAATGAAGATAGTATCAATGGCTCTTCTCCATTTCTTCAGGTTCAAATTATCCGATGACACGAAAGAAGTAACTTATAGAACCATGTTTACACTCCACATCAAAGAAGGGCTGCAGGTTCGTGCAGTTCCAAGAAGAGGATTAGTAGAAGCATGAAATACACAAAGGCACTTTCAAATTTCAATCTATATAAGTCATCTTTAAAGCTAATCTACAGATGTAATTACTTTCCATTCCATCATATGAACTATAAGTTCAACTTTGTGACAAGAAAGTGGATGCTAATATTCCATCATGTTCTTGATTTCGTCTTAAAAGTAAGGAATGACTTCATATTAGTGAGATGTTGCACTCAGAATTCCATATTCGTAACCTGGCTTTTTTGGTGAACTTGAATAACAAACTAAAAAGGAGTTGAAATCATAACAAACTTCCAGCTACCAGAGAACCCCTTTATCCTCAGGTTAGAAAGAAAAATATTGCTCCTATATAAATGTATTTTTCGAGAAAACAAGTGATTTTTGTATGTTTGGTAGTAAATACAATATATTGTCATAAAATACTTATATATAATCTAGGTAAATATTATGGATAGAGGGTAATATTAGTTTCCATGGACCAAAATAAATAACTTTTTACGCCCCTTGTAGAATTTTACTTTTATTGTTCTATTTATCGCCCTTAAACGTTTGCAATTGTTAGTTTTCACAACGTCTGTTGTTATTTCAATCCCAACATTATGTTCAATCTTGTTGGGATAACTGTGCAAGTTAAATTAGTGCTCATATAAGCATAGAAATTAAGGATGGTGATTGCTGGTGTGAGGACACACATGCAAAAACAGCAGGGTAAGTTGCACACTAGATAAACCTTAGATATCTGTGTGACTGATGATGAAGCGCCATATCTATATTCAAATCCACAGAGGGCCCAACCTATATTAGTATAAATGTCTAATTAAATCATACTCCAAGAGAACAGTGACATGTTCTATTGTTTATTCTGCAAGTTTCTGTCAGTTCATTTTCTATATGATTTGTGAACAATTTTCTTGATTTGACTTTGCTATTTGTGTGTTAAATAGTACCTAGAGATGGTGGTCATATCTCCAAATATACAACATTTCTGGAAAAAGAAATGGATATTCTCTATACAATGTTCACCTCTATAGCTATTCTCTTGTTCATTTGTGTGACTCCTATATTAGTTTTAATAGTAAGGATCTATGCTGGCAAGTCAATCAGAAACCCCAAATATGCACCAGTGGAGGGGACTGTGTTCCATCAGCTCTTATACTTCAACAGGATGTATGACTATCAAACAGAATTGGCTAAAAAGGCCCCTACTTTCCGGTTTCTGGCGCCGGATCAGAGTGAAATATATACCACTGATTCAAGAAATGTTGAAGACATTCTTAAAACCAACTTTGGTAAGTACTCCAAAGGCGAACGGAATCAAGAGATTATAATGGATTTGTTTGGGGAAGGGATTTTCGCGGTAGATGGTGAGAAATGGAAGAAACAGAGAAAGCTTGCAAGTTTTGAGTTCTCAGCTAGAGCATTGAGAGACTTTAGCTGCAAAGTTTTCAGAAAAGGAGCAGCCAAATTGGTCAGCAAGGTTTCTGAGTTCTCTCTTGCCAACCAAGTTTTTGATATGCAAGTAAGTCATTGAAGAACTTGATGAATTTCAGGGTTTTATCACTTATATCACTAGCCAATTTTTATCACTAAAATATTCTAGCACACTTGTAGGAACTGCTAATGAGAGGCTCCCTGGATTCAATATTTAAAGTTGGCTTTGGAGTTGATCTGAACTGCCTGGAAGGGTCAAGTGGAAATGATAACAAATTCATTACGGCCTTTGATGATTCAAATGCATTGTCATATTGGCGTTATGTCGATCCATTCTGGAAGCTTAAGAGATACTTCAACATTGGGTCTGAATTTCTCCTGAAAAAGAACATCAAATTCATCCGAGAATTTGTTGATGAATTGATTAGAACAAGGCGCAAACAGCTAGAGATGAAACAAGATTCTGTAAGTCGTAATTTTTTTATTATTAGAATGTTTGGAGAGCTAAAATGAAACATTTCATTCTTCTAAAGTTATTTTGGAATCTCTTTGAATCTAACATAACTATTAACCTTTTGTCTGTTCTGCAAGATGGATAAGGAGGACATACTCTCAAGGTTTCTGGTAGAGAGCAAGAAGGATCCAGAGAAAATGACTGATCAGTATCTCAGAGATATTATACTGAATTTCATGCTTGCTGGCAAAGATAGTGCTGCTAATACTCTTTCATGGTTTTTCTATGTGCTTTGCAAGAACCCCTTAATCCAAATAAAGATTGTTGAGGAAATAAGAGAAGTTATTGGTAATAACATGAAGGATAATGGAAGTGTGGATGATTTTGTAGCAAGTATTACAGAAGAAGTCCTCGAGAAAATGCATTATCTTCATGCAACATTGACAGAGACCTTGAGGCTATACCCTGCTGTCCCATTGGTATTACTTCTGTCCATAAAACTGCAATATATGCATAACCAAAACCAAATAAATCTATCATTTCTTCTCTTTTGTATCTATATGTGACTATATCTCTCATATGCAACATGTTATTTGTTGATATTCAGGATGGAAGGTGTGCGGATGCAGACGATGTTCTTCCTGATGGCTTTCACATCAAGAAAGGGGATGGGGTTTATTATATGTCCTATGCAATGGGGAGAATGCCTTACGTTTGGGGGGATGATGCTGAGGATTTCCGACCCGAAAGATGGTTGAAAGATGGGATTTTCCAGCCAGAGTCACCATTCAAATTCATAGCATTTCATGTAAGAGTATGTTGTAACTTGTAATCTTAGTTGCCTTCATATGTAGTGTCACCTGAACTGATATAGGTGATCACTGATGCTATATAGGTTCTGTTAAGTACCGTCAATGTAAGAGTGGATTAGAGTCTCACTTTGGTTGTGGGGAATGGACTCGTGGTCTTCTTATTTGAACTTGGCTAATCCTCACCTCATGAACTAGCTTTTGGGTGTCATATCTTTACTGTCGGAAAAATAGGAGATTATGCTTAAAGATGTCAAGTTTTAGCAGAGATCTTGTCAAGATCTCACCAAGGGCTTTTGATGCTTATGTTAGTTTGTAACCGTGAAGATAGTAGTATACTTTGGTCTAAAGAATATATATCTTCTTTGGCCTGTATTGCATGTAATCTGTAATGGGATTAGAATACCATAAGGGATACTGCTAAATCTTCCTTGACACGGGCTGTATCATATTATCTTTTCTCTAACTCATTGGTTTATTAAATTTACAGGCTGGTCCAAGATTATGTCTAGGCAAAGATTTTGCTTATCGGCAAATGAAGATAATATCAATGGCTCTTCTCCATTTCTTCAGGTTCAAATTATCCGATGACACGAAAGCAGTAACCTATAGAACCATGTTTACACTCCACATCAAAGAAGGGCTTCAGGTTCATGCAGTTCCAAGAAGAGGATTAGTAGAAGAATGAAATACAGAAAGCCACTTTCAAATTTCAATGTATAAAATGTCATATTTAAAGCTAATCTACAGAGGTAATGACTGTCCATTCCTCCATATGAACTATAAGTTCAACTATTCACAACTCTGTGACAAGAAAGTGGATGATAATGTTTCATCATGTTCTTGATTTTGTCTTGAAAGTAAGGAATGACTTCATATTAGCGAGATGTTGCATTCAGAATTCCATATTCGTAACCTGTCTTTTATTTTTGTGAACTTGAATAACAAACTAAAAAGTAGAAGTTGAAATCATAACAAACTACCAAGTCCAATTTGATGCTTTTTTTACTTGTTACTGAAACATGTAACACAGATTGAGTCAATAACTTTTGATATTATTGAGACAACAAAATTTTATCAACTAGATCAGATTATGCCCTATAAAGATTTTCATGAGGCTGATTTTGAGCCTCCATCCAAGCACGAATACCTAGGATGAGCAAACATGGCATAGAAAAATTGAAGCACAGAAGCTGCCTAACTCACAGGGAACTAATATCAGCTTCAGACTTTTACTCAAAAAAAATTTCAGAGGAAAAAGAGAGATCGAGAAAGAGCTAGCCTAAAACTTTAACAATAAAACAAAGAATTGAGTAAAAGTTTCTGATACACAGAAAATTGCAATTGAATTTACATGTGCTCCTTATATGCAGTTCTCAATCAATCAATCAATCAACTATGCCTCAATTCCTAAATGTTACCTTGAGAAATTAAAAGTCTACAACAGAAACATTTTCGTAATGACTATGCATGATTCTTGATTAGTTTATGTATATTCTTGTTAGACAGGTTAATTATAGTAATCAATAAAGCATAGAGGTAACAGGTGCATGTCAATTGGTGATATGAGGACAAGCAAGCCAAAAAGAGAGAGGTAGTTGCAGGCGAGATAAACCTTATGGTATACGTGATAAGGACATGTTCTTTTCTTTATTCTGTAAGTTTCTTTCAATTCATTTCTATGATGTGACTAGGATTAATATTTCCCAGTCCAATCCAGCAAGATTCCAAATTAACAGTTCCCTCCAAGAACACTGTTCGACAAATCTATTAAGAACAAAAATTTGGTGAATCTTGTTGGGCATATCCTCTCTAGTATCTATAGGATTTTCAGTACTATAAGGCTGAGTTTTGTATAGATGGTTGTCACCTCTCAACACTAGAGAAAAAATGGATGTCCTCTATACCATCTTCACCTGTATAGGAACTCTCTGTGTCATTTTTTTGACTTCCTTCTTAGTTTTAATACTAAGGATCTATGCTGGCAAGTCAATCAGAAACCCCAAATCTGCACCAGTGGTAGGAACTGTGTTTCACCAACTCTTCTACTTCAAAAGGCTTTATGATTATCAAACAGAAGTCGCCAAGAAAATTCCTACCTCCCGACTTCTAGCTCCGGACGAGAGTATAATATGCACCACTGATTCAAGAAATGTTGAGCACATTCTTAAGACGAAGTTTGGCAAGTATTCTAAAGGCAAGCGTAATGAAGATATAATAATGGATTTGTTTGGAAAAGGGATTTTTGCAGTAGATGGTGAGAAATGGAAGCAGCAGAGAAAGCTTGCAAGCCTGGAGTTCTCAGCTAGGGTCTTGAGAGACTTTAGCTGCACAGTTTTCAGAAAAAGAGCAGCCAAATTGGTCAGAAAAGTTTTTCAATTCTATAACTCCAACCAAGTTTTTGATATTCAAGTAAGTCATTGAACAATTCTTTTAGCACTTCCCCTCAAAGTTAACAGTCCCTAAACAACTTATTACTATTAGTACTGTTTCAACAGTCAGTTGTTATCACAAAACTTTATATGCACCATACTTGTAGGAACTGCTAATGAGATGTTCCCTGGATTCAATATTCAAAGTTGGCTTTGGAGTTGATTTAAACTGCCTGGATGGATCAGGAGGAGATGATAACAGTTTCATCAAGGCCTTTGATGATTCTAATGAATTGATATATTGGCGTTACGTCGATCCCTTTTGGAAGCTTAAGAGATACTTCAATATCGGCTCTGAAGCTCTCCTGAAAAAGAACATCAAATTCATCCATGAATTTGTTGATGAACTGATTAGATCAAGGCGCGAACAGCTAGAAGTGAAACAAGATTCTGTAAGTCTTAATTTGAGATCATTAGTGTGTTAGGAATGCCAGACCTTTACATTTACATCCTCTTAAGTACAGAATCTCTTTTACTCTATCATCATTATGAGTGTTTTGTCTGTTCTGCAAGATTGATAAGGAGGATATACTATCAAGGTTTCTGGTAGAGAGCAAGAAGGATCCAGAAAAAATGACTGATCAGTATCTCAGAGATATAATACTGAATTTTATGCTTGCTGGCAAAGACAGTACTGCTAATACTCTGTCATGGTTCTTTTACATGCTTTGCAAGAACCCCTTAATACAAGAAAAGGTTGTTGAGGAAATAACAGAAGTTACTGGTAATAACATGAAGGATAAGGAACATTTGGAAGATTTTGTGGCAAGTATGACAGAAGAAGTCCTTGAGAAAATGCATTATCTTCATGCGGCATTGACAGAAACCTTGAGGCTATACCCTGCAGTCCCAGTGGTATAAATTTGTTCCAAGAAACTGCAAAATTTTCAAAATTAAAACCAAATTACTACAAATCATTTCTACTCCTCGAGTGACTATTTGATACATACAACATGTTATTTGTTGATATTCAGGATGGCAGGTGCGCAGATGCAGATGACGTTCTTCCTGATGGCTTTCACATCAGAAAGGGGGATGAAGTCAATTATGTGTCCTATGCAATGGGGAGAATGCCCTATATTTGGGGGAATGATGCTGAAGATTTCCGACCTGAAAGATGGTTGAAAGATGGGATTTTCCAGCCAGAATCACCATTCAAATTCATAGCATTTCATGTATGTATCAAACCTTGATACTTGGTGACTCCTGAATTGGTAGTTATTGTTGATACTCTACATTTTTTGGGAAGCAATATTGCAAAAAAAAAAAAGAGAGATTATTCTCAAAGATGCCAAGTTTTAGTAGAGACCTAAAATAAGTTAAGGTGTTGGTCATCTAATGATTGCGATAACTTACAAATTTAGACTGTGGTCTAACATTTTCTCATAAGATTTTCAGTTTGCTCAAAAGAGATTTTTAGATCATGGTCTAAAATTTCCATAAGTTGTAAGAGGAATAAAAAGATGATCATTTACTAAACAGCTGTCCCAAAGAAGGGATAACCAGCAAAAATTTCAATATTATCTTTTCTCTAAGTTTTTTGTTTTCTTGATTCACAGGCTGGTCCACGAATATGTCTAGGCAAAGATTTTGCTTACAAGCAAATGAAGATTTTAGCAATGGCTCTTCTTCATTTCTTCAGGTTCAAATTAGCCGATGAGACGAAAGTAGTAACTTACAGAACCATGTTTACACTCCATATCAATGAAGGGCTTCCTGTTCATGCAGTTCCAAGAAGAGGATTAGTAGGAGGCTGAAATGCAGAAAGCACTATGAATGTCATTTTTAAAGCTAATATACAGAAGTTATGATTGTTCATTTGACATTTGAACTATTAGTTCAACTATTCGCAAATTTGTGTCCAGAAAGTGGATTCTAGTACTATTTCATCAAGTTCTTGATTTCTTCTTAGAAGTACGAAATGCCTTCATATTAGTGAGATGTTGCACTCCTGAATGCCATATTCAAAATGTTTTTTTTATTTTTTTATTGGTGAACTTAAATAACCTAGTAAAAAGTAGGACTTGAAATTATGTAGCACTCTGTTGTCCAATTAAAAATAACATTCCTCTTGTTAGTGGAACCTATAGCACATTGGATCATAAAATTTGATTGACTAGGTCAGATCATACCGTATAAAACAGGACAAACAAACATGACATGAAACCATTTTGGCATTTTGTTTCAGACTTATCCTTTATCAAAAGGACCATCAGCCTGATGAGCTCACAAGATTTGAAGGGGAAAGAAAGGGAAAAGTCAAACAGGAAGTAAGAATGAGCTAAAAGAGCTTATCTAAATTGCTGATGCACAGAAAATAGAACAAGATTGCTGATGCACAGAAAGTTGTAAAAACAAAAAAATAAATAAATATTCAAGATGAAGATGAATTAAGTCAAAAGAACATCTATTAGCGATAACATTATTAGCCAAAAATATGCACTAGGACATGGCAGTGGTTTAGATGGATATTCTTCGTAGCTCCATTATCTCCATAACAGTCATCATTCTCTCACTTGTCTTTTGTGTATTCATAGTTCAACATCTGACCAAAAAAGTATATGGAAAAAAAAGATACCATCCAATTGGTGGCACCATTTTCAATCAGCTCATCAACTTCCACAGGTTACACCATTACATGACTGATCTTGCTGGCAAGTACAAGACTTACAGGTTAATCAGCCCTTTTAGGAATGAGATTTATACTTGTGACCCTGCTAACGTCAAGCACATTCTCAAAACAAACTTTGACAACTATGGCAAGGTAGGCCATTTTCTTGAAATCCTAAATAACCTTTTTTGTGTAGGAGCCTTATTAGTAACTGTCTGTATTCAAAAGAACAACAAACCAGTAACCAAAAATAAATAAATAAATTGAATATGATAAAAATCGAGCCCACTGTTTAAATAATTCAAAGTTTCTTATTTCATGTTGTGGACAGATATATACAATAGGGCTACAGTTACTGTTTGATAAAAGAGGATTTTATAAATCTGCATATTTTGGTAAATAGATGTTATAGTAGTACTAAATCTTGGGTAAATTCAAAGTATTTGGAGTTGGAAAATTGGAAACTAGTGGCGTTCCCTTCCGTTGTATGGCCAAACTATCTAGTTGTAGTTCATTGAGGCTCTTTTCTCTTCTTTTTAAGGTCAGTTTAGACTGGGGTTGGGATGAATTGGATCTTATTTCAAGTATCTAAATGAATCCCTGGATCTGTCTCAATTCCCAAATAAGTAGCAGCTGGCTATACGAATCTCCCAACCCAACTGGTGTGACAAACTGGTAGAATGATTTTCTGATTCCCACTTAAATAATCTGCAGGGTTGGTATAATTACAGCATTCTTAAGGACCTGGGATTTTCACAGTTGATGGGGATAAGTGGCAGGGGCAGAGGAAGTTGTCGAGCCATGAGTTCTCCACAAGGGTCTTGAGGGATTTCAGCAGTGTGGTCTTCAGAAAAAATGTGGCAAAGCTAGCTCACATATTGTCTGAAGCTGCCAATTCCAACACAACAGTTGACATTCAAGTAAGTTCCATGACTCGACTTCATCAAACAACCCTTTTATGTTTTCACCAGACAAATGAGCCTAGTTTGTCAATGTAGGATCTATTCATGAAATCAACTCAAGATTCAATATTCAGAGTTGCCTGTGGAGTTGAGCTAGACAACATGTGTGGTTCAAATGAGGAGAGCAAAAAATTTGGAGATGCATTTGACAATGCTAATGCAATGGCAACTTGGAGATATGTGATGTCTTCTGGAAGATAAAAAGAGCTCTCAATATCGGAGTAGAAGCCAAGTTAAAGGACAATATAAGAACTGTTGATGCATTTGTTTATAAACTGATCCAGAGAAAAACTGACCAGATGACTATACCAGAAGCTGAATTATCTGTAGGTTAATCGTCTTACAGCTACTTCTTTTACTTATGCAGATAGATGCTTAGATATTATGATATTTTTCCAGTTGCAGTGGAAGAAAGAAGACATTTTGTCAAGGTTTCTGCAAATATCTGGTACAAATCCAAAGTATTTGCGCGATATAATATTGAACTTCATAATAGCAGGCAAAGATACAACAGCAATTACCCTTTCTTGGTTCATCTATGTGCTATGCAAGCACCCTCATGTACAGGAGAAAGTAGCACAAGAGATTAAAGAATCAACAACCGAGAAAGAAAATGCAACAGATATAACAGATTTTGCTGCCAATGTGAGTGAAGATGCCCTAGAAAAGATGCAATGTCTTCATGCAGCACTGACAGAGACTATTAGGCTCTATCCTGCAATTCCAACGGTAATAAACAACTTCTTTTATCATACATCAGTGTCTAAGTAGATGTATGTTTTATGTTGTTATTTTTGGTTTTCCCTTTACTGCAGGATCCAAAAATATGCTTTTCGGATGATACCTTACCAGATGGATTCAGTGTGAACAAAGGAGACATGGTGTCTTACCTACCATATGCAATGGGAAGAATGAAATTCATATGGGGTGATGATGCAGAAGAATATAAACCAGGGAGATGGCTTGATCACGATGGTTTCTTCAGGCATGAGAGCCCCTTCAAATTTACTGCTTTCCAGGTTAGTCAAATCTTTTTTTTAGCTTTAATTATCATTTGTTAAAGTCTTGAACACGAGTCTCTACTTATTTGCCTAGTGCCTATATACTGGCACATTAACCAATTAGCTAAGCACATTCTTTTGCTGATTAAACAGGCAGGGCCGAGGATCTGATTGGGGAAGCAGTTTGCTTATAGGCAGATGAAAATATTCTCGGCTGTGTTGCTACATTACTTTGTTTTTAAGTTGAGTAATGACAAGAACACGGTCAACTATAGGACAATGATTAGTCTTCAGATCGACGGGGGACTCCATGTTGATGTTTTTCATAGATAGGGCCACTAGAAAGAGTATAAATTAAAAGGAACATTTTATACAAAATATTTTCCTCCATACAAAACTTACCCTTAGTCTTTGTTTTTTATGACATGGTCCCTAATGGATTAATTATCTAAGCATTAGATGGAACAGCTTCTACTCGATCCCATGTCGTGGTGGAGTCAGAAATTTTAATAAGGGTTCAAAATCTGAGAAGTAAACACACGAACTAGTGAAAGGAGGTTCGACATCTATTATACTTATCTAAAAAATATTTTTTAACCATGTATAAATAATAATATTTTTTGCCGAGGGAGTTTGGATGAACCCCTCATTATATGCTGCCTCCCCCTGAACTATAAAAATAATACATACATTATTATTTATTATAAAATATAATATAAATTAAATATTAAAAAATAATAGTTCAAATAATCTGACATTTGGAGAAAATGAAAAGTCTATTATACAATCTCATAATAATGTTAAAGGAGAGCAGTTACAATGAAACTCTTCAGCTTTTCCTTTTCGTCTCTTTTGTAATAATATATATGATTCTTCATATTTTTCTTGTAAATTTGTTAAATATTTGTACATGCATTTATTAAATTTAGAGCAAGAATTAACTTGCATACTATCAGAGGCTATTATAGCGTCCCACTAATTGTGTTTTCAATGAATAAATTCAAATAGTAAAATCTGCATCATTTTGATTTTACTCCCTCCATCCAACAATAGTTATCAACTATATTATTTTGGGATGTCCAACAATACTTGTCAACTTTATGAAATCAATGTATAATTTTATACTTAATTCCTAATTTATCTTTGTCATTAATTATAGTTATTTCCTTATTACATTTTTTAAAACATTGTATTTATTACTCCTTCCGTCCCATTTTATATGTCACATTTTTTACTTTGCACTTGACATTAAAAATAATGTAATTTTACCCTTCTACCCTTATTTAATGTTTTCTTAAGTCAACTTTTATTAATAAATGACAAGATTAATTAACTATTCTATCAAGGGTATAATAGACAAAATATGATAATTTATGCATAAATTTATAAATGACAAGTATTGTGGTCCAACTATTTATAGAAAGGAATGACATATAAAATGGAACGGAGGGAGTATATTCAAATGGCAATATAGTAAAATTACCCTTCTATTTATAGTTTCTTAAGAAGTGTGTAAAATCAAGGAAATAGTAGACAAGTATTGTTGAATAGAGGGAGTAATATTTTTTATTTCATAAGTTAAAACTTTTTAAATATGCAGAAATTTTATAATAGTTGGGGGCTGCACGTTCCCAGAAACTAGTAAGTCAAATATGCACAAGCACACAGAAGTGGTTTCCATGGATAGAGTCAGGTCCATCCTGTTTTGGGCTCCAGTTAGGCTTGGGCATGAAGGGGTTGTTACAGTAGCTGGTTAGAATTCCATGGTTTGGGAATAGATTAGTGGTCTACTTATATGAACTTGTGCAATACTCTCCTCATGAACTATCTTATTTCCAGCATCTGAATGAATTGCATAATCTGTTAGTCTATCAATAAATTACCATGCCTTAACTCTCAAATAAGTTGCAGACGGCTACAAGATACTCCCAATAGTTGTAACAAAATGATTTTCGGGTTGCCAACTTGAGTTTTTCGAATAATTTGCAGGGATGGCATAGTTACAGCATTCTAAAGGACCTGTTAGGGGATGGAATTTTCACAGTTGATGGTGATAAGTGGAGGGAGCAGAGGAAGTTGTCGAGTCACGAGTTCTCCACAAGGGTCTTGAGGGATTTTAGCAGTGTGGTTTTCAGAAAAAATGCAGCCAAGTTTGCCCATATATTGTCTGAACTTGTCAAATCCAACAAGATAGTGGACATTCAAGTAAGTACTTGTTCATGAATTGACTTCATAGAAGGATTGTTTTTTTTACCAGACTAGTAATCCTGGTTTTATCGATGTAGATTCTGTTCATGAAAGCAACTCTAGATTCCATATTCAGAGTTGCCTTTGGAGTTGAGCTAGACAGCATGTGTGGTTCAAATGAACAAGGCAAAAACTTCATTGCTGCATTTGACGATGCAAGTGCAATGACACTTTGGAGATATGTTGATATCTTATGGAAGATTAAAAGATTTCTCAATATCGGATCAAAAGCCAAGTTAAAAGAAAATATAAAAAGTGTTGATGCATTTGTTTATAAACTGATCCGTAGAAAAACTGAGCAGATGAGTACTCCAGAAGCTGATTTATCTGAAAGCGAATCGCCTTATATATATATATATATATAGCTATACTATTTTTATTAATGAAGATGGATTCTTAGACATTATAGTCTTTTGCCAGTTGCAGTGGAAGAGAGAAGACATTTTGTCAAGATTTCTGCAAATGTGAGTGAAGATGCCCTTGAAAAGATGCAATATCTTCATGCAGCACTGACAGGACTCTTAGGCTCTATCCTGCAGTTCCAGTGGTAATAAAGAACTTCTTTTATCATACAGCTGTGGCCAAATAGGTATATTCTTTAAGTTTTTCCTCTTACTGCAGGATACTAAACTATGCTTTTCGGATGACACCTTACCAGATGGATCCAGTGTGAACAAAGGGGACACAGTGTCGTACCTACCATATGCAATGGGAGGAATGAAATTTATATGGGGTGATGATGCAGAAGAATATAAACCAGAGAGATGGCTTGATGGCGATGGTTTCTTCAGGCCTGAGAACCCCTTCAAATTTACAGCTTTCCAGGTTGGTCAAATCTGTTATTAGTTCTGTTAAAGCCTAGTGCCTATATACTGTCACATTACTAGCTAGCTAATTAAGCACATTCTTTTGTTGATAAAACAGGCAGGGCCGAGGATCTGCTTGGGGAAGGAATTCTCTTATAGACAGATGAAGATATTCTCTGCTGTGTTGTTATCTTACTTTGTTTTCAAGTTGAGCGATGACAAGAAGACTATCAACTACATGACAATGATTAATCTACACATTGATGGGGGATTGCATGTTCGTGTCTTTCGTAGATAGGGCAACTAGAAAGAGTTTACTTTAATATGTATAATGTATATTAGTATCGGTCCAGTTCTGCCCGAATGTTGTTTATGACATCAATATCTAAAATAAACCTATCAAATAACATTAACCTGGCATGGAAATAAGGTTTGCTGTGTATGGTATGTATCATTGTTACACATTCACATTTTCATTGTTTTACCTTCCTCCCCAAGTGTTTTCATGCCATGTAAGTTTGTGATTTTCAGTGGAATAACAATTGTTTCCCCTTCCCTGACCACACTTCAGGAGAAAGTGATTGTAGAATTTCAATTTTGTTCTCTAGCTTCAAAGAAAGAACCACGGATAGAAGTTGCATGAATATTAACTTACGTCGTTGTTGTTTACTGTTCACGAGTAATCCATAGGTTGCACCATTACATGACTGATCTCGCTGGCAAGTACAAGACTTACAGATTTATTAGCCCTCTCAGGAAGAAGATTGATACTTCTGAGTTCTGACCCTGTTGACGTTGAATACATTCTCAAAACAAACTTTGACAACTATGGCAATGTTAAGATCCAAGACTATCCCTAGTCGTAACACGTTGCTTAGAGCCACAATTGATCCCAAGTTAATCCATAGTCTGACATGATACTAGGATTTATGTACAACTGAAAATATTTGAGACGAAAATTGAGAATACTATGATTTTACATATTTTTGTTAATCAATAAACAAGATCTACACAGTCAGGTCTTGATTGGAAAAGAATCAAGTGGAAAAGAAGGAATCTCTCAAGTCAAAGAAATCTTAGTAGCTCAGTGACCGTCTTTCTGAACGTTCACCTTATTGGTGAAAGTTCAATTCCCACCTTGTAACCCCTCCCCTATTTCCCCATCCCCATCCCCAGTCATAATAACCTCAAAAAAAATTCACAATATGAAGTTGGTCACAACACCTATACAGGTAGATTTCAAAAAAGGCAAGACTGAATTTTTTTATTGCTTAGAGAATTAGCTCAACTGTCATCAGTCAAAATCAAGGATAAAAAAAACCACAAGTTCAAAAATTCATGCTGCTAGTGTTTCAAGACAGGATGCATATTTGATTGTAAATCAGATAATTCAGAGCAAGACTAGTAGCAGGTTCTTGCATTGCAATAAATTAAGATTGATACATTATCTCCGAATACAGAAATATATGGCAAAGTATTATTTAGTATTGTACAATCAACCCTTGTGCTTGAGGTTTGAGATCTCAATTCAATGGAATGATTGATGTGCATTTATTTGGTGTACCATTTTGCAATAAAATTATTACTATTTTTATAATCATTGACACCTTCATAATGATCTAGTGAACAGAGGGCAACATGCTGTAGAGTATTGCAAGATCTTCAGAAGTGAATTTCAAAGCTTGGCAATTGCATATGGAGGCAAGTATGATCTTGGAGGCAGCTTTAGGTCTTCCCAGTCTTCATCATCTATCTTGGTGTAGTAACGATCAATATCAATATCTCTAACTAGTTCCACTCTGGAGGGATCCCACTGAAAATATGTGAAAAGACGAGCACAAAAATGAAAGAAGCTCTTGATATCTTAGTTCAGGATTATCCATGATCAGATAAATATAACACACCTTAGGATTTCTATCCTTTTCTATGAGTATGGCCCTGAATCCCTGCAGTAAAAAGTCAAGTGTTAGTCTTGTAATGCCGTAGAATTGGTGGCTGAAAGATGGCATATTCTACCTCAAGAATATCCTTGTTAAATTCTCCCCTCAACACATGACAAAATATCCTATACTCACAGACAAGGCAAATATCAACACCTTGCAGCCTCCCTTCTCTTATCTGGAACAGAAAAAGGAACTAATATGAACAATCTGCAGATACTCAAGAACTCTCTAAAGAAAATGTTGGCCAAATCAAAACTAATATGAACAATCTGCAGATACTCAAGAACTCTTCAAAGAAAGTGTTGGCCAAATCAAGGCATTAGGACCGTGTAGAAAGAGATTCAAGATGTGGTTGTGTGAGCCAGACATCATCATATTTCTTATTTGAAGAACTTGCTTCACAGCAATACTAATCTAGTATCAAATTTAAAAATCCAGAATAAATAATCCTAATCCAAGCGTATAATCCAAATGATCTTTCTGGGGCAGCTGTTAAGAAAAACTTGGTCTTACTTCCTACATGACCGATTTCTGATCAATCTGAAGAAACAAGGGTACAGAAGTTCAGGTAACAAAATCATGGTATCACAAGGTAGCGATTGACTTACTAATCTCAAGGAAATTTTAAGACTTGTAGGGGATGCTTTCTTCAGCAACTGAATGGTTGAAGAGATCCAGTCCTCCTCCTTCTTGTCCAAAGCCTCATTTTCCTATTAAAAATTCATGCAAAGTTCTTACACATTATTTTAGTAACTTATATTATCAAAATTTTACAAAGTAATTTCAGCACAGAAAAAAAAAGAGAACACATCCAACCACCATTCATCTCCCAAACTTACAAGAGTTGATATGATTTCTTCAATTGTCCTTCGAGAGAAACATCGATCAATAATCTTCATCCTACATGCATAAAATTGCAGAAAGTAAAACTGGTGTACTGTTGAAAAAGAGGTCATGAAAATCCAAAGACGACAGGTTTGTTTAATTGAACAATATTTTCCCTAGAGACAATGGAAACTTTGGAATGCTATCCATCATCTTAAGCTTCTAACTGCGATATAAATTAGAGGGAAAATAGTCTTACCACAACAGGAAGAAAAATAACATGAGAGCAAAATAAAAATAAAGAGCATAGATAATGACTTCTAAAGAGCAAATTTAGAAGGTAAGCTTCCAATAAATCAGCAAAAAAACAAACATCATAATATAGAGATACTAAATGAACTCACTTGTGGTAAGGACTTCCTTCTTTCAACTTTGGTATGTGGGAGAAGCGACTTATGATAGCAGATATAGCATCTGGGTCACTCGTGTTGACTTTAACTAGTTCTTGTTCTAAGAGTGGCAATTTCTGTGAACACAAGGAGGAGACAAAGGATTCAGTTATAGAGCAAAGAAAGGAGGAATGAACAAATAAACAAATATTATGCAATTTGATGTATATCAAGATCACTGAACCACATTTTAGATGTGCCAACACAACTCAGGAAAGGCCTTATACACCCTCAAATGCAAACTATAGCTCAAAAGTCTACTAGTGCAAATTATAGCTCAAAAGTCCATAAATCCATCTAAGAACCATTTCAAGCATGGCTGACAAAATCCAAATTCCAACAAGCATGATTAGCTTGGAACTGCAGGGGAAGGTAGTTTACAAAACCCGTAGAATTTTTCTCCAAGTACTTTGAATTCATATTTGTTGGTACCTAATTACCAAAAAAAATAAATCAATGTGCACACTGTACTCTACATGATACATCTATAAAGCTCTATTAATTAATTTAATTAGTATTTTGGAAAAGAAACAATAGAAGATTGATTATTACAGGCATGAAACTATTGAACTTGCTGCTGCCACAACCAAACTAACTAAAAACGATTTGTAAGACCTTTATAACAAATGACAGATAAGATTACCATTTTAACACCATAAGCCTGACACCTTCAGATAGACAGTGGATAAGAAATTTAGTTAGTAAAGGGAGCAACATCAGTATTGCCATTATGATAACATAATGATTTCTTATAGAAGCAATTGTAAATGGGCATAACATGCTAAAAATTAAGGTAGTATACATCCGATGATACAAAGTGGGTTGCAAGACCACAAGCAAGCATTTCAGCTCCATCAAACCTAGAACCAGTAAGACCAGCATATTCCCCTGCAAGATATAACCTTTGTAAGTACAAATTCTCTGGGCATCATTGACAATGTAGGAAATGGTTTTCCGCAATATTAGCAACATAATCAGCACAACTAAAATTAGGGAAGAAAAGGAAGGATCATATCTCTAAATAAAATCGTGTATAATTCTGAATTATTTAGAATGTCAACTATTTTACAAAAACCACAATTTTCAAATATCCTTGTAGAGAAGATTCTATACATGTCTTCAAAGGATATTTTACATTTGTGATGATCTAAAGAAATTCAGCAATCACCGTGAAAAGAAAACTAAGGCTGATTTCTATAATAACTTAAACTTAAAAATTCAGCCATAACTATGACAACTAAGGCTCACATCAAGCTAACACCCCAAAGTATCTGTAGGGAAAAAGTTTTATAGACACTTGTATGTGAAAAGGATTGACCTAAAATTGTGCAATGGGCGAAAAACTAGTTTTAAGTAGGGAAACATGATCAATGAATATCCAGAAAATTCAGAATATAAGAGAAGATGCACCAAAAGGCACATAGTTGCTGCTGCTTTAATCCATAGGGCATGTGCGGCAACCTTTTGAACACCTTCTGCAGGAGCAAAAGACCTATCTTCTGCTTGTGACTTTTTTTTACTTTTGATTTTAAGGATGTAGCTGAGCTAACCATTTCTTTCCTAAGACATATAGCCTCAACTAGTGGAGCTCGATGACCAGGTAGTGACTTAAATTTCAAACAATGAAAAGTGGCAGATAACTTCACAATAAACTTGAATGAACTACATCAATTGCAGTAATTTTCTTTATAAATATGAACAATGTGGCTAGTAAAATTACCAAAGAATCCTGGAAGTCTTGATAAAAAGTAAGAGGAACCTACATCAGGAAAGAGTCCCATAGCTGTTTCAGGCATAGCGAATACCTATAGAGAAACATACATAAAAAATTACATTGGACATAAAATTTCTGGTATCCGATTAGATGTACTAACCAGCACCATCTATGAATAATGTACATATTACTGCCTAAGAAAAATAAACCCTTAATGCAAATCCAAGGTACAAATTAAAGCTCATGAAGATTTACAGTTTGTAAGATTTTCCTCCAACTTTACTCTAGTTATGCCAGAGCCTTTTATATGAAAAAAGGTAAAATTTATTTATAAGATCTCTGAGAAAAATAACAAGAAGTTCTGCCGGATATGGATCCTTCAATTCAAAACTGTAAGGATTCCAAGAGCTATTTTGCTTCAGCTATTCCACATGAACAATCATATATTCTATTACTCCCTAGATAGACACATTTGAAACAAACCATAAAGAATGTGGGAAAGATCAAATACAAAAGGGTAAACAAGACAATGAATCTACCGACTTTTCTGTCGCAACTCGAAATCTACCATGTATAGAAACACCAGCTCCACCTCCCATGACAATTCCATTAAGGATGGAAACCTTCAATGGGAAGTCCAAACAAGATTAAGGAGAACCTCAAAGAAAGTAATATCACAGAACTAAAATTAGACATAACCAGATTTAACCTGGGGTTTTCTATATGTTGCAATCATATAAATCAAGGTGTACTGCTCTCGGAGATAATTAGCACCAAGTTGCCAGTTACCTGATAAGCATGAGTAAATAAATATGTAAGTGGGGACATTAAGCTATGCATTTCTTTTATAACCTAGAAATCATCGAGGGCCAGTGGCACAAGGTTCTAAATCTTAGAGGCTCATAGACAGTCTTAGAATGTGGGTTATAAATTCACATTATGTATATGTTGAACAATGATAAGAGTGTATAAACACATTTATATAAAATTTTCAAAGTGATTACTTGAACTTGAGATGCAATATTATATTTACTTTTCAAAGAATTGCATGGAGTCTCACATTTTAATATGACTAAGAACATATAAGAAAGTCAAGATGGTTTGCTCGGTCAAGTTAACGCACAGGGTGCCGGTCATGGCTTCATCAGAAATTAGGTCGTGAGAATTCCACTGGGTACATGCTACCTCCTACCAACACTGGTATGTACTAGGTAACTCTTCCCATCAAGGCTTAGACAATTAGACAAATGAGAAGAAATCACCCACTAATTTTTGTCTCCGCTTAGACTTGAACCTGTGGCCTCACACACTCTTGAGTACACATTTACTGGTACTATATATTGATTGCTCAAAACCTAATATCTAGGTAAAGTGAGAAACAAGATGGATTTGCCAGGTTAATAGTACAAAGATATGGACTTGGATAACATCTGAATTTTATGTCATTGAAAGAAATTACTTGGGGAGTTAAACTTCAGTTCATGGATCCAATTTTAATAGATTGTGTTTGACAAGATATTACCAATTTGGCAAATACGTACCCTGGCGAATAATATGAAAAGGAGTTGAAAGATCACCACCGGCACAAAAAGCCCTTCCGTGTCCCTGGAAAATATTGATACAAGAAAAGTAGTTACATTTCTTGACTGCAATTGAGATATACAGGGGCATTAAGAGAACTTTGTAGCATACAACCAGAGGTTGATAATGTGGATTGTTCCGATTGCCAAGAAACATAAGCCTAATGTATCCCGAGGAGAAAGGTAGGTGGGATCAAACACTAGATTGGTCAGCACCAGTGAGATACCAAAGAGAGGTAGCTGATTAGCCAGCTTTATCCTTACAGGGAAAATGTCACTAAAGCTATGAGGAAAAAACTTTCTTCCCAGTGTCAAGAGATCGATGAGACAGGGAACAAACTGAAGTTCTTCGATAAAGAAATAAGATTTGAATAAAGCAAATCAAAATCATTGCAACTCTTCCTGCAAGTAGTTTCTAAATATTTTTGTAGGCAGAATGCTGAGCATCAAGTTTCCCTCCTCATGTTAAGCTATGACAGGAAATTTAATTATCACAAAAGATCCTACTACTATTAAAAATACCTTTAATATTATCATCTTCACATTAGAATCTTCTTCACTCGCATAGAAAAGTTCCGTAAGCCGAGATATCTGGACAAATAAGTTTGAGGGAATAGTTATCACTTATAACATGTCATCATATGTCAAAAAAAAAGTACTAATATCATATTTGGCATACCATTTGAAAAGAAAGTGCATTCAACTGCTTTGGCCTATTTAATATGAATGTTCTAACACTTCCGCGCTCCTCCACCAAAACCTGGAAAACCAAATATATAAATTATGGAAAAAGGTTGCATTAAAGATATCCAAGAAGAAAAACAGATCACCTAAACTAAATATAATTTACTTCCTACTAGAAAGGTTGCAATTTGGAGAGGAAAAAAGAAACATATATGTAAAAATTAATGAAAACCACCAAATTAATTGATTAAAATAACAAGTGGAAGACTATAACTTGAGTTGATGGGAGCAGAATAGGATTGCACCTCATCAGTTTCGCCATTGTTAGAAGAGGTTTGAGCCATGGTCTCTGGTTTGAAACTGACGAGCTGAAGGAAAATGAGTGAGAAGACCATTCAACTGTTTGAATTATATATACAAAAAAAAAAAAAAGTTAGAGGGCCATTTTATGGGTCGGGTTTAAGATAACATGTCTAATTCATTCAGAATTTTATGGGTTGGGTTTAACATAATTTTTGAATTTGGTCATCTTCAATTGATTCAGGTCTCAACCTATTTTAACAGAATCTTCAATTGAGTCTAATTTAATGAATCACCAATTACTATTTATTTTATTTTATCATCAATTTGTAACTTATTTTTTTAAGTTGAAATTCAAATTGTGGTTGTAAAAGATAAATAATATTATGTTAAAATTATTGAGATTATGTGTGTCATAACTCAATCCAATTTTTAGCTCATTTGAGACCAAAATAAATGTGGGCAAATTATAGCTCAGCCCTATTTCTATTGAATTCATTTTAGTATTTTCAATTTCAATTCAAATCGTTCATTTAACGCCTCTAGAATAAGCGGTCCTTTTCTATTTTTTCTTTTACTCATTTAAATACTCTCGTGGTTCACTTATAATTGTCCATTACAATAAATAAAAAATCACCTTTGCAGTCAAGTAAAAGACATAAAAATAAAATCTTATTTCTCCTACAACGTAACATTAACTATTCTTTCCTAAATAATTTTCCAATTAATCCATTAAGACTATATACACTAATTAATTTGTGTATTATAATTAGAAATGTGTATTTTATTTTATTTTTTAAAATAGTCTAAAGATTCACTATGCCTAAATTCGCCAAACCTCAAAAACTAGCAACACAAATAGACTACGATTCCGAGGATAAATGACCTTGCTCTATGTCACCTAATTTTTTAAAGCTAAATTTTGAATATTTTTCTTCCTTTTTATGGTTCACATGCTATCTATGTTTTTATAAGATTGTTTGAAGTAGTATATAATTTGGGACGGTAAAAAATCAATTGAATCGATCCAATTCTTTTATGTTTGAGCGGGTTAAAGATCCGTTCATTTATTAGTTCAATTAATTTTAATTCATTAAAAATTGGGTCAATATGTAATCCAAATTGATTCATGAGAAATCTTGTGAAAATATTTTTTTAAATTTTTTGTTTTATTTTGATCTGTTATATAATCATAATAAAGTGTTGGGTTTTAGCAAGGTGTGAATGAGAAATTGGAAAATGAGGGGGAACCAATTTGGAGGGAAAATGTAAAGTCATTTCTCTCATATTGGTAGAAGAAAGGAAAAGTGTTGTCCTTATATTAGGAAACACTTTCGTTAGCTCTTAAAGGGTTAAGTAGAAGGTGCCCCTTGCGCCGTTGGCTTCAGCTGCGGCAATTGATTGATAATTTTTTAGGCAAAATTTATTTAATCATTCTCATGAATGTTAATTAATTAACGGAACTAATTTAGCGTAACAAAATTATTTGAAAATTCGCGTGTAACGGTAAAGTCGTTCTGAAGGGACCTGTTCCTTCCGAACCGACACTGTGGACTCAGATTATTTATTTTTGGTCTATATAATATTTTATGTTTCTGTTTTTCGCTAACCTGAATGCAGGAGATAACAAGCCTAAGAAATTTAATACTTATTTTTGTATTTGAGGTTTCAAGAGATTAAAACCTTTTCTACTATGTTTGAATTTTAAAATTCATTCGATTAACGATTAAAAAAATATAAAAATTTCATCGTTAAATAAGAAACATGTTGTATAAAGAATTATTCTTTACTTCTAGTATTTCACATACTAAATTGTTTGTCATTTGTGACAGAAAAATGACTAATTCAAGTCAAGTAAATATTGGAACAGTGAGTGCTGCAACAACATTGGTTGCACACAATCGTTCAACTGCTGCCCTTGCACCGACTGAGAAACCTGCAAAGTTTTCTGGGGTGCAACAACATTGGTTGCACACAATCGTTCAACTGCTGCCCTTGCACCGACTGAGAAACCTGCAAAGTTTTCTGGGGTCGACTTCAAGAGATGGCAGTAGAAGATGTTCTTCTATCTGACTGCGTTGAGTCTGCAGAGGTTCATTAGTGAGAACGTTCCTATTTTGTCAGATGAAACTCCGAACGAAGAACGATTCTTGGTAACAGAAGCATGAAAGCATTCAATTTTTTTGTGTGAAAATTATATTCTAAATAGCCTGCAAGATGATCTGTACAATATGTACAGTAGTGTGAAGACCTCAAAAAAACTTTGGGATGCTTTGGAAAAAAAGTACAAAACAGAGGATGTCGGAATGAAGAAGTTCACTGTGGCAAAAATTCTCGACTAAAAGATGATAGACAGTAAGATTGTCGTTACCCAAGTTCAAGAATTGCAGGTCATAATCCATGATCTTCTTGCTGAATGTATAAATTTATATAATACCGCTATGTTGAACATATTAAGTTTGTTCCTAATACTCACATAATCTTTGATGTAGGATTGATAATTGTGAATGATGTTTTTCAAGTGGCGGCCATTATTGAGAAGTTACTTCCGTTGTGGAAGGACTTCAAAAACTACTTGAAACATAAACACAAGGAGATGATTGTTGAAGATCTCATGGTAAGACTAAGAATCGAAGAGGATAACAAAGCCGCATAAAAGAGGTCACGTGGTAATTCAGCAATATCTAGAGTAAATATTGTTGAAGAAGATCCCACAAAATCAAAGAAAAGAAAGAAAGCATCTGGACCAAAGAGCAATCCTCCCAAGAAGAAATTCAATGGAAACTGCTTCAACTGTGGCAAACGTAGTCATAGGGCTACTGAATATCGGGGTCCTAAAAAGGACAAGAAGAAGGATCAAGAAAATTTGGCTAAATCAAAAGAAGAGATGGACGATCTCTGTCCAATGCTTTCAGAATGCAACTTGGTTGGAAATCCAAGAGATTGGTGGATAGATTCTGGTGCCTCATGTCATGTTTGTGCCAAAAAAAATTATTTGCATCATATACTCCATCACTAAAAATTACTTTTTAACGAGAGATATATATATAATATTATATATTATGTATAATATAATAATATCATACATAATATGTGTGAGCCACTTTTTTGAACGAAATGTATATTAAATCTAAATCACAAAATTAAGAAGTATAACAAATCATTTTTCTATCCAATAAAGATAATGATTAAGAAATTTGTTCAAGATGTCTTCTGTTCTTGTGAAAGACGGATTAAAGTACCACTAAAATGTTGTTCAAAATTTTGATTTCAATTCGTTATTTCTCTTATAACCTAAACTTTACTTCAGATAATAAAAAAGTTTGACACTACTTATCCAAGATGCTATAGTAGCATTTAGTGGAGCCCCTAGTAGGATGTACTTGGCAAACCATGAATGCACAGGCCTAGCTACCCCAGGCTTGCACCAACCCATACTATATTGCTTGCCCACTTCCTCAAATAATAGCCAATGTGGGGTTTCTTCTTCATACAAGTAAGTTAACAAAAGTTCAAAATCCTCTAAATATAAAAATATAGATTGGTAGATAGATAATATGATGATGATAATGGTGATATGATATTTTATAGGGAAAATGCTTAAGTAGCCCCCCCTCCCTCAATCTATGCCCGAAATCACAGAGACACACTTATACAATACTAAGGTCCTATTACCTTCCCGAACTTATTTTATAAATAATTTTCTACCCCTTTTTGGCCTACGTGTCACTGTCTTCTGGGCCCAGTGCGTGTTGACAATTTTTTCAAGCTATCTGGTTTATAGTGCCACGTAGGCCGAAAAGGGATAGAAAATTATTTATAAAATAAGTTCGGGAAGGTAATAGGACCTTAGTATTGTATAAGTGTGTCTCTGTGATTTCGGGCATAGATTGAGGGAGGGGGGGCTACTTAAGCATTTTCCCTATAAAATATCATATCACCATTATCATTATCATTATCATCATCATCATATTATCTATCTACCAATCTATATTACTTAAAAACACAAAGACCCTTAGAAATGTTGATTGTATTTTTTTTATCACATTAAAATCTTTATAATGAATAAAATTATCATTTACTATTTTAACAACTAATATTTTAATATTTAGAATTTTGAAATTAATAGCTAGAATATGTGTATTCTCATTAAATAAGTAGTAGGGGGCTTTCATATGAAATAAGTAGTAGGAGGATTTCATAACTAAGAGCCTGGTTTGACATTACTGCTGGAAGCCGCCGAGAAGCACTTATTTTGAGAAAAAAATACATTTTTTGAAAAATTAGATGTTTGGAAAAACTTGTAGAATCTCTTTAAAATGGAAGCAGAAACAGTTTTTCTGTTATTGGAAAAAAGCTAACAATATCAGCTTCTTAAAAAAAGCGGAAGTAGAAGCAGAAAATTATTCTTTTCAAGACTAAAATACCTTAGATAAATCTCTTATTAATAAATTAACATATCTCATATGTTTGGTTGATTTCATTTAATAATTTTATTTTTATTTTTATATATAAATTTATATTTTATTTTACGTTTAAGTATTTTTATTTTACATATTATTTTGCTGAATTGGAAAAAAAGGTAACAACAATATTTTTGTAAGACTAGAGAAAAGAAAAAAAATAACAATTAAAGATTTCAACCCTTAAAAAAATATGTGTAATATTGATTGACAATTTGAAAATGAATATTTTACTTTAATAAAAATAAAAATTTAATTTACTTTTTTGTAATAAATGTTTAAACTAGTTTCTCTCTATCAAATAATTTTAACA